GGGTACTCCCGCAAGCGTAGGTTGTATTAAAATAATGTCTTGTCCCGTGTTTGCGTATGGTGTGACCTTAACATAAAGTTCATATATACATATCTGCATATTTTAAGTCGATACCTAAGAGGCTATTCAAGTATTACGTAAGCACTACAGGGGGACTGAAGGATCTTTGCTTTGCTTATTTTTGATGACATGAGAAATGGGAGATCTGATTTTTTTTACAAAATTTAGTCGATTTTGGTTTGAACACATTTATGGCAATGGCAACCCTACTTATCTACGCTTGAAAGCGAAATGCATTTTCAGGAACTTACGACTGCGGCTCTCGTGAATCAATACGTAAACACGGGAGAGGGGGATAAGACCATAGCTTACTTTTGCTGACGAGGGGAAGGGAGGGGGGTTAATAATTGCAAAAAAAATGTGCATACGTGTAGTTAAACAGCCCCTAATTCTATCTAGAAACTTGAAACCCCCCCGTAGATGGGCAGACGTCAGTGGTACTTCAAGAATATAGACTTGTATTGGACTATTCGCTAGATAATAAAATCATAAAAACATGTATAATAAAATGCACTTCTTTTACAAAAAATCGTGAAAAAGGTTGACTTATTTTAGTAGCTAGAAAGACGCAGTTATCAGACCATAGGGTCGACAGTCTGGTTGGACACGCACCTTCACTTCTTCCTATAGCTAGCCAATTTTCGCATTTTCCTAAAACTAGAGCATCCTTAACTATTTGCGAACGGTAATCTAATCAAGATCTTCTTCTGTCCCTCTTTATTCCTATTTCTGCGTCAGATACGTATTTCTCTAACTTTCACGCCTCAGAAGGTGGTCTATCATCCATATCTCTTCCTTTTTGATTTCTACAGTTCCCTTTTGTCCTCTTCGGAGACATTCAATTGGGCACTATTATCTGCCAAAGTTTGTGGACCAACAAAGGTCCTCTCATGCATACCTTTTGGTTGGGCACCGTGAACAGGGTGACCTTTTGTTTCGAAGACACTTTTCAATGGGTGGTGGTTAATCCTGTCGAGTATTGTTCGAAATCCGACTGCGGAATAGTTTCAAAGATTATCGACGTATGTATATCCTGTGTCCAATTGAGTCCTTTTCTAATATACCCTTATTTCTAACATTTTCTATTCACTGTATTTTCATCATGATACCACAACTCAACTTTCTCTTTCACGTCATACCCGCCGAACACCTTTCACACCCGTACAGATAACAGCAGAGAAGTAATTTCTTTTTACTTAAGGCGGCTCGAGCCTTAGCCACCTTTTTTTTGTGTCATTAGTCACTACCCCTCTTTCCATCCTTACATATCTGACTTCCCAGATAATTTATATGTTTTTCTATAATTGTTCTCTGCATTGGTGCTCAAATTCTGTTCTTTTTCTTATACATACAAACTGCATATCACTCTGTTAACCCTTTATATCACTCCTACAATTTTCAGTAGGTACATTTAGTATCTTTTCCCATTTAATCTAGCCAAAAGCTACGAATCTGATGAATGCGCTCTTCACATTTTACCGTTTTCTCTACCATTTTACCCATAAAGCTAAAATTGCCTCACGCGTTCCCCTATAGCTCCTAAAGCTGAATTGGTTCTCCCACTATATTTCTTCTTCCTCCCTTTTATCTATGCACAATTGTAGTTATGATTTTCTAATAATTGTTCAAACATTCTCGTCTCTGTCTGCACCCCTCTTTTCTGGTAGTTTTTTTTCTCATCACGTAAGTATGATTTTAAGGAAATTTATTAACTTATTAGTCAATAGTGTGTCTTGAATATATCAAATTTTTTTCTGGAACCCCCTTCTATGCTTCGTGCTTATTATTTTTCAAATTTTTACCTCGTGTTGCTCCTTCATTATAGTATATCTTACTGCATCTATCACTACACTGTCCTTTGCTCCTAATACATCACGCAATTCTTAACTTGAGTATAGATTCTTTGAGCTTTTTGACGTGACAACGTCTTATAATTCGATGGAGCCGGCTGCACGCACGAAAAAACATGACTCATGCGGCGTTACCTCGCTCTGAGGCGTTCCATTTAAGGCTTGAAGTGCAAGCGAGAGCGCGTGACGAGCGACAAAGAGGCACAATCGGCCTCCGCGTTCGGCAGCGTTCGACATCTGTCTCTCTCCTACTTGAGTGAGCGATGCGTCCGCGTGGACAGATGCTATACAATAATACATTTCCATTTACCTCCTCTATATCCATACAAAATATCTATCAAACAAATAAAATAAAAATTTTCTTTTGAAAAATGAAACCATTCCATCAGTATCTTCTTATGACGTTGTCACGTTCAACTATCGTCAGTAAACCGACTTTACAGACAACCGATTTTTTTTTCTTAACTATCCACCTTTTCTCTTTTCCATCAAGATTGCTCCTGCTTCATTTCTTTTATTATTGCTATTGTACGTTGTTTCTCTAAATTGCTTTTGTGTAATAAGCCTCGCCAGTTTTACCTGTACTTCAAGCTTTTCTTTTACTTCTATAACTTTTACACTTAACATCTATTATTTATCAATCAATCAAGAAAGACGTCATATCCACATAACCAGTTTATATTTTTCAATATCTTTTGTAAAAATGAACTCCTCTTTTGCCAAAACATATCGATTTCTTTATGATTGCCAAAATTGGTTTTTACTTGAAGAATTGGACTAGTAAATAATTTATAAAAACTGCACACTGGTTCTTTCAAAACAGTATTTCCGCACTGTAAGAATGCCGTATAAATAATTAACGTATTAAAATCGATCATTACTTTCTCCACCGATTGTTTTAGAAATTGTCTCATTCTGAAATCCATCTCTTTCTTCCTTTTTTACATTAATTATCAGTTCAGCTCCATCTATTTACAAACTTATACTATTTAAGACAACATTTTCAATAAATGAAGTCGGTCAGTATATAATTACACACCACAACAAATGAATTGATTTCAATTATGTAAGTCTAAATAAGGATGTATCGATTTCAAGAAATGCGAGCAGTTTCAAGACAACAGAATAATGAAATCATTTGTTTCTACACTTGCATGTGCGGCCAGTTGCAATTCAATACTCATTTGTGATAACATTTAATACGCATATTACAAAGCAAAAAAATATATCATACAAACTAAAAAATAATACATGAATAGGTTCGCAATAGTACCACAACCTTCACATTAGAGGAAGTTGCGAATTTGATTAGCAATTAGCATTAGAAATAAAAAATTGTGTCGTAAGAAAAGCATTGGGAGATAAGGAGATTAGCCCCTAAATATCCTACTATGGTGTTTTTAATTGGTATCCCTGTGAAGTGCCACCCCTACTGACCGAGGTGCAAACTCGCCCCAATCGGTCAACAGCAGCGGCGCACCAGTTTGATCCCCCGCTCAAATTAGGCACGTGCTCACTAACTTGCAATCACGCTGCCAACTTGATTCTGTATAAATATTTATGTTTATGTAATTACCATACCATAAATTAAAGTTAAAATCATTATCCATCAAAGATGAGATGCTCTAATATCCAAGCAGTTTAACTATTCTGTCGAAACCGTTAGTCATGATCAGGGGCGCAACAATGTTACAATTTGACTGGCTGCTCAAAAATGACTAAAAAAAAAGGTCATCAATGCATTGTACTAACAAAAAAAAAGTCATTTTGACGAGTTTGAACTATTTGCACCGAACTTGCGAGTTAGATTATTACCTGAATTGACTGGGTGCCCAACCTAATCGAGTGGGTGCCCGGGCACCCGCGCCCCCCCCCCGTGTTACGCCCCTGGTCATAATCCAATGCGATAGCGATCTCATATGACAGTTTCGACAGAAAAGCGACCACCATGGACTTTTTGTAATGATGATTACGCGTCTACCACGTAAGGGCAACTACGCCGTGGATTTATTTTGACAACTAGATATCCTATTGAACATTTTTGAATCTCACAAAATGGTCCATATTCTACAGATGTAGTAATTCATATATCATCATCATAAGATCGTCAGTCCTAAGACTGGTTGGACACGTACTTCCACTCTTTCCTATCCTGAGCTAATCTTCGCATTTCCCTAAAACTGGAACAACCCATATCCTTAATTATTTGCGAACAGTAATCTAATCTAGGTCTATCTCTACCCCTCCTGTTTCTGCCTCTAATATGTCTCTAACTAAACCTTCATGCCTGGGAAGATGTTCTACCAACCTATCCCGCCTATTTCTTATTGACTTCCATAGAGTCCTCTGTTCTCCTACACTTTCTAATATCCTCATCATCCGTCTGTAACACCACAACGATTCTAACCTTTTCTTTTCTGCCGCGCCCACTGTCCACGTTTCGCACCCGTCCAGCGTCGTGCTCCAAACATACACCTTTAACAACCTTTTTCGAATTTCTAAATTAACCGTTCGCGAGCATAGAAGTGAGTTCTTTTTATTGAAGGCGACACGACCCTACACTATCCTCTGCTTTATATCCCTACTACTCCTTCCGTCCTGTCTTATCTGACTTCCTAGATAACTAAAATCGGTCACTTCTTCTAGTTTTTTGTCTCCTATCTTTATGTTCGCTCTTTCCCTACTTTTTCTTCCCTTGCATATCAGCATTTTTGTTTTACTTTTATTTATTTTCATGCAGTACTGTTTTGTCAATACCGCTTCCATTATATTTAAAGCTAGCTCTAACTCCTCCTTGCTAGATGCTGATACTGCTATATCATCTGCAAATCTAGGCATACTAATCTTTTGTTCCTGTATATCTCTCCCTACAGTTGTACTGTCTTTAATGATGTTGATCGCGTCTTCAATGTATAGATTAAAAAGTAGCGGTGACACTATGCATCCCTGTCTGACTCCCTTCCTATCCAATTCTAATCTATTCATCTCTACTTTTAAGTTTTCCAATTTCCCTACTTGCCTCATTCTCTTAACATTAATTCATATATGTATAGTATGACTAGATTAATGGAATTTTTTTTTTGTCACCAGGAAACACCAATGGGTTCCCAAAAGAAGGCTTACAATTTCGGGGCAGGAGCACAATTTGCAACGGAGATGGTAGCAGGGACAGCGAAGCGGAAAACGGCGGTTTTGAAACTTCAGGCGCAGGAGGGACAGACCAGCTGGAGGGATCCGGGGCAGCTGAGAATGACGCTCTTCACCTCAAGAGACGGGTGGGACTCTTCAGTGGGGTGGCTTTAATCGTTGGAACAATGATAGGTACGTAATTAGCCAGTCACGTTCTTATAACGAATGTTACATCCTTTGTTCGCAATTCAACTCAATGAGGTGAAAATCACTTCATCGTAACAACGTCACTCTCAACTTCGGTAATTAAAATTGAAGCAGAGGGGGAAGTATTCGAAACAAAAATTGTATCGTAGAAGTACGGATAGAGTATTGGGGTTAAGATTTAAATTAGAAATTAATTCAAAATCCACTTGCGATTAGATCTTTTGAAATTATTTGAAGCTTCCAAAAGCACAGAGAAAATTTAATTTATATACTATAGTTTCTTATCCGAAATTCATAATATATTTCGCGCATAAGTTAAGTTGGAATGAAAATAAATAAAACAAATGGAGAGCGAACATGGGCTAGAGCTTAATATAAAAAGTCGACAATTTTCAAAATTCGGAAGATATAAAATAGGGGTGAGACAGGCGGGGCGCTCGGTTTGAATCCGGAACCCAGCGGATCCGACACTTTTTAGGATCCAGCGAGGTAATTCTACCAGGGATAAAATAAAAAACCAACACCATCAATGTATAATTTGTGTAACAAAAAACCTACCAAACAAAAATTGGTAATTAAGGTTGTATTGGGATAGCTCGTTTGTTCTAATTCGTACTGTTTATTGATTACTACTATATATTAAATTGTTTGTTATTTCGATATAATTCTTATGTTTACAATTTCTCGTGTACAAGAATACATTCAGTATGACCTAACTGTTGCAATGTCTGACGCTTATTAATATGTCAGGTATTGATTAACGATAACTTATTGATTTTGGCACCTTGCAGACTTTTAGTGTTTATAAACGTTACATACTAATCTAATGTAATATAAAAAGCTATTTTCATAAGTAAAGAATTATTTTCTGTATTTTTTTCAAAATTTTAGGTTCAATAGTTTCGGAGATAAAGGGGGAGAATGGTCAAAGTTTTCATCTATTTTCGTAAATAACTTTAAAACTAGTTATTTTAGAATTATAAAACTATATATATATTTGAGACCCTTACAACAAACCCTTTCACTTGATATGTCATACGGAACAATTTGCAAAAACTCCTTTTTTAATTTCTAATTGACCCCCCCATGTTCAAAATGATTTTATTTACGTTATGCGTCCATGTTTGGGTTACAGAGATTCATATATGTAGGTACTAAATTTCAACTTAATCGATCCGGTATATTCGGAGCAAATTGATAGACAGACACTCGGGTGACCCTATAAGGGTTCCGTTTTTCATTCGGACGAACGGAACCCTAAAAATAATTAAAAAAACGGTACTTCCTAAATCTAAAACATTCCAGGAAGTAATGAACTTCTTTCTATCATATAAGGTAAAAGTCTAGACGATGTCCCCCACCCCCGAAGGTGGGTCGAAAGAGGTCTCGCCCACCACTGTACCATAAAAAGTTCGTGGCGGTCTCACCCCCCGTAAGAAGTTATGTGTTCAAAGTTAATAAATAATGCCAATTTTTATACATTTCTAGGCATGTAAATATTTATATAGTCATTCTTAAACAATATTCAAAGGTAAAACTAATGAAAAATACATAAAAATATTGAGAAAGTTATATAAAACATCATTTAAATATCTTTATAAACAGGTTAGGTTAGGTTATAGGGTTTTGTTCAAGTGACCACCCTCTTTCGATCCCCCACCTCCACCCGCTTGAAAATATTTTTTTTTATTGAATTTTATTTGAATTATAGTGTATGAAAATTGTCAGAATAATCAACTTTCAACCCCCATAACTTTTTATGGGGGTGAGACCGCCGCAAATTTTTTATGGGGTTTTACTCAGGTGACCACCCTCTTTCGATCCCCCCTACCCCCACCCCCATCTAACCCCCATAACTTTTTATGGGGGTGAGACCGCCACGATCTTTTTATGGTACAGTGGTGGGGGAGACCTCCTCTTTCGATCCCACCCACTCCCACCCCCTTCAGGCCATCATCTAGACATTTACCTCATATAAAGTAAATAATAATAAATTCGCAGGATATTACAACTACATGAATTACCTGTAAATACTGAAGCACTTTACATGCCCCACTTTATAATTTTTAATACAATTCGTGTACTTTCTATTACATACATACATATCTGACTGGTTTTACTCAGTATAATTTTCATCGCCTGTATATAATGCATTTATTTAAATAAACTTGCAACTAGGAAACATACGGAATTTCTTTCTTTTATCTGTTTATATTGACGATTGCAAGCCAAACGAATTTATGACATTTGGCACAAAATCCTTATTTTCATAAAATTCGCATTTAGCACATCCCCACATTAGTCCAGTCGTATGATCAAATGCCTGCTTTATTTAAACTTAATGTACCCTGTAAAAACTTGTTGTTTTCGTAACTCACACGTTTCCATTCATTATAGGCATTCCAATATAAATATATATAGGGACTGCTAGTATATAAAGATAAATAAATTAAGTGGAAAAACGTTAGCAAATGATTGGATGCGTTTCAAATGTTCTACAGTCTACACATTTCATTTATGGCTTTGTTTATCAAAACATGATGAAAAAGCAAAATAGAATTGGGTAATATACTTTGGTACTAATTGAAATTGCACTCAAGTAGATGGTGCGCGTATAGTTTAGTGCAAAGTTCAATGTAGTCCATTAAATTTCAGCTTCGTGAAGACGTGATCGTAACTTCTAAATCTATAATTTGCTTCACTTCCTAAAGTGCTGACGGGAAGTTGATTTCAAGTATAATCGAAATTTTAAATTTTAAAGTAAAGAGTATCCGTATGCGACATCCGGAAATGATATTTAGGAGACATCTTATAACTAAAAGTATCCCTACATTGTGTCCGATATCCGGATAATAATGTTGCTATCCATATCTAACATCCGGATACATTAAAAGGTAAAGAAGAAAAAAACACTAAAACTAATACAAGAATTCGCCAATTAACATTGACTCATGGTGACACCGTATATAGATATTTTCTTTTTTATCTGGTAATAAAGTAACTAATACTGAAAAAATATTTTGTCTTGTAAGCATCTGCATAAATCGTATACAACTCTTGAAAGTTCTATCGAAAAGGAACGCTTTCAAAATCTTCTAGCTAACAATCGCACGACTTATTGAAATATTCACTTTAATGTAAAATTGATTGATTTGATCAATTGACCATAACTTTCTATCGAAATGGATTTTGATATCATAACGATATTCTTCGAAAAATCTCAAATGATACCAAATCCATACCAGTAAACTTTATACCAAAAGTATATTTCACTTTAAAGAGAAATTCAATTCACACTGCGTTTAAAAACAGCATAGTTAATTTATTAATATACTGTTTTAATATTACTGTGCAAACTTAACTGTACACAATATAAAATCGAAATAATAATTTGATAAAAGAGAAAATATTATTTCTGAAAGATTTAGTGAGTAAATTTACCTTATGCGAAAGCCCTTGCTGAATTTATCCATTGAATACATTTAATTTTTGGGAAGAACTCGCGTCGAATTGTCAAACACAGTTAACGTTTCACTCACAATCTTACCGAACACTTTCACAGCTCTGGAATTCCTAAAACAAAAGAAAGAGGGATTTATTTACCAAAACAAAACTATTTCTAGTATGTATTTTTCAGCAATTTCTATTTTTCGTTCATTATATCTAGTAGCATAAATACAATACACTACAACTTCAGTAATTGCGAAGTTATAAAATTTCCAGTATATACAATTTTCTTAAAGCATCCTAGGAAACTCTGGTAGCATTTAGATTAAATAATAGGTCCATACTTAAGATTTCAATAATATTATTATATTCACTTTATTTCATTTGAGATAGTCATTATT